ACCCTTTAAGGAACAGGGGGCAAAATTTTTTTCCCACGTTGTAGGGTGTCTTTTCACTGTTGGTGGTTACTCTTGCCGTGCAAAAGCTTTTTTTTTTATTTTCAAGAGAAAAAAACTAACAAAACAACAACAATGAAGACAAAAACAACGAAAACAATACATGACCTCAAAACAAAATGTTAGGAATTAACAATGATTGCTACATTACATACTGTTATCTTCAACGAAGTTGCTCAGTCCACCAGATGTAAGATTGATCAAAGACAGTAACAAGTAATAAAAAAGGAAACCATTGGAAATGATACAGAGCTTCACCATACAAGATGATAGGACCAACAGTGGTTCTTATACTGCATATTATTGTCTTCAGATCAGTAATTCTAATTATCAGATACAAGCATGTGAAGTTGGTTAAAAAAAATTTTAAGCATTAACTTTTCCTTTCAGTAAACCACAGACATCAGCAATACACCTATCCCAGATATTCTTATATATACATATAAATTTAGTTTTTCATTTTAAAGAGAAAAGAAAAAAAATAACAAAAACAAACACATAAAGAAAACAGCATAGAAAATTTAAAAATGAAAAAAAATTAAAAAATGATACAGAATTTCAAAACATGGTGATAGGATATTAACAATGGTTGTTATAAAATGTCTTCAAAATGGTTGCACAGATAACCAGATATAGGCATGTAAGATTGATCAAACAATTATACATTAATTATTCCTTTCAATAAACCAGCAGATATTAGTAGTACAAATATCCTAGCTATCCTGTGTATACATATACATATTTTTTTCCTCTTTTTCCTCTCCCCTCCTTCATCCCAGTTGCTCCTTCCTATCTGAGCAGTTTCTTTCCCTTTCAAAATATCTGTTGTACCCTTTACTCCTTTAAATTCTTAAAATGAAGAGGCAATATGATGTTTACACATACAAGTCTTATTTATTTGACTTATGAATATGGTGTCTAGTTTATCCACTTACCTATAAAAGCTTCTAGTTTATCGTTCTTTATAGCTGGGTAATATTCCATTGTATAAAACTACCACATCTTCTTTATCTATTCCTTAGTTGGTGGACATTTGGGTTGTTTCTAAGAGCTAGCTATTATAAATTGCACTGCTATAAACATAGTTGCACATACATTGCTGTGCTGTGATGTTTTCAGTTCTTCTGGAAAAATACCCAGGAGGGGAATAGCTGGGTTGAATGGGACTTTTAATCCTAGTTTACTGAGGAATCTCCAGACATTTCTACCGTCATTGCAAGTCTACACTCCCACCAACAATGGAGAAGAGTTCCTTTTTCCCCACAGCCCCTCCAGCATTTGTTATTGGTTGATTCCTTGATGATAGCCATTCTTCAGGTGTGAGATGGAATCTCAGTGTTGTTTTAATTTGCATTTCTTGAATGACTAATGATGTTGAATATTTTTTTATGTATTTACTTGCCATTTGTATTTCTTTCTGTGAGAAGTGTGTATTCATCTCAGATGCCCTTTTTTGGATTGGGTCTTTGAATTTTGGGGGCCTGATTTTTAAAAATTTTTTATATTTTATAGACTGGAGTCCTGTAGCTGAGGGACAGTTCGCTAAAATTTGTTCCCAGTTTGTGGGGTTTTCTTTTCACCCTGTTGGTGATTTCTTTTCATGTGCAAAAACTTTTCAATAAGATGAGATCCTAGTTGTTTATTCTTTGAAGTATTTCCGTGTAGTTTGGTTTTTGTTCATGAACTCTCTCCCTACCCCTATGTCTTCAAGACTTCCACCTACTTTCTCTTTCAATAGATCTTGTGTTTCTGTTTTAATATTTAGATCTTTAAGCCATTTTGACTTTATTTTGGTACATGGTGATAGGCATTGGTCTAGTTTTAGTCTTTGGCATGTGGAAAGTCAGTTTTTCCGGCAGCATTTATTAAAGAGGCTAACTTTCTTCCAGTGAACGTGTTTGGCCCCTTTGTCAAAGATAAGGTAGCTGAGTGTCTTTATGGTTGTGTCTGCATCTTATAGTTTGTTCCATTGATCTTCAGGTCTGTTTTTTTGCCAGTATCATGCTGATTTTGTCACAGTAGCTTTGTAGTATAAATTTATATTCGGGACCTTCATATGAACTAGATTTGTGGTTATATAACAAAATCTAAAATGAACCAGACAATTATGTGCTGTATGTAAGTTCTTAATATGTCAATTTTTTCCCTCAGGGGTTAAAATTTAAAATGGGTTAGGGACAAAATAGTGAAGTGGGACAAGAAGCAGAGATTAGAATTAGACCTGTTAGCCGGGTGTAGTGGCGCATGCCTGTAATCCCAGCACTTGGGAGGCTGAGGCAGGAGGATCATTGCAGGTTCGAGACCAGCCTGGGCTACAAAGCAAACTCAAGGTCAGCCTGAACTGCATAGCGAGACCCTGTCTCAAGAAAAAGAAAGAATTAGGCCTGGAGGACAAAGGAGGATCACACTACCTTTGGGAAACTGGTACAGAAGACTGGAATGGAAGAGAGAAGGAAGAGATAAAAAGAGGAACAGAACAGAAGCACAAAGAGGCTAGAAATCACGTTCACACTCATATAAAAACAAGATCAATGAAGGAGAAAAAAAACAAAAATAGAAAACCAAAACAAAACCTCAACAACAATAAAAAAAAGATCTAGAGAGAGAGGGGAGGAGACAAAAAAGTCTATTTCCATGTTCGTCTCTGCGGTCATTGGTAGACAATGTGTGGAGACAGTCCCAATCCATGCCAATCTATCCCAGCACTCCAGCAATAGCTGTTTGGTAGGGTAGTAGATAGTCTCATAGGGCCCTCATCTTCTGGCCAAGATCAGATTCATTCAGCCTGTAGCTGTCAGCACACCTTCCATAGGCCTGAACCCAGTTGGCAGCCTCTAGACGAAGCTGGCAGCCACTCTGAATTCTGAGCTCAACCAGCCCCTCTCCAGGATGGCTTCTGGCCATTTGCTGCCTTGTACAGCACGACTGATCCCTCCACACTCACCACCAGCTAGTGCAGTCCTTTGTGTCCGCTGCTTACCTCCACAGCTGCGTCTCTGTGTGGAGGCCTCGGGTCACCAGCAGTTACTACCTCCACAGGTTTGAAGCATTCCCCTTCAACAGTGAGTCCTATCTCAGAGAGAAGGCGCCACCAGCTACCTGTTTCTTCTTTGGAGTTTCTCTCTTCGCTCTCTCCATGGGCTTTAATTCACACTTCAGATCCTTCCTGGGTCCAAGGGACCCACTTCCCTCCTTCTTGCCTTCCTCTTGTTGCTATATTCCAGCGTGTGGATGGTGACTCTCAGAGAGGCTCTTTCTCTGCTGCTTACCACTCTGCCATCTTGGTCCTTTCTCCTGTATCTATCTTCATAAGTCTTTCCCAGTTTTTAATGTATGGCATCACTGTTTGAACATCTAGTTTACTTTATTAGTCTTATTGCTGGATGTGTGGTTCTTCCCTGTGTTTCACTGTTACAAGCAATGCTACAGTGAGTATTGTATATAAATTTGTGTACACCTGATAGTGTATCTTAAATGAGAGTTCTAGAAGAGATGGCTAAATCAGAGGATACTTTTAAATTTGGAACTCTAGAGTCAAGATCACATTTTAGTAATCAAAATTATGGTAGTATTTCTCCAAATAAAAAAAGTGCTTAGTTTCCTTCCATACCAGCCTATTCCAGTATCCAATGTGAATCATAAAGGAAACCGAAATTATCAACAAGAATTTTCCTTGAAGTTTTGTGAGTTATGTTTTCATATGGTTGATAGTTTTAAAATCTCATTTCTTTTCATAATAATAAGGCTTTAGAAAATGTTCTAGAATTAATCGTGACTTTTCACTTTTACTGTGAATTTATGCCACAGTGCTATACTCAACTAGCACAGCTTCTTAATATGAAACAATATTTGCACTGGACCCCATTTACTACAAAATGCTTTGTGTTTACGTCTATATATTTTGTACAGAAGGGACATTTCTGTGTATATATACTTAATAAAACTGAGCACTGAATACATTGTAAAATTAAGATTTGGAAAAAATGGATTTTTTTTTAAATGGAAAATTTTAGATAGCAACACTTCTGTCATTTACTTTCTTTGCATCCACATGCAGTTTGAGAACGTTTAATTTTAGAATAGACTGTGTTATAGAAAAGATAATAGTTTTTATTCAGAGGGTTTCTGCATATAGGTGGTACCTTTTGACTTCTGTCTTCTTGTCTCCCACATTGTGTTTTGGTGTGAATTAAGATTATTATCCAGATGATCTGGGTTGTAGTTACACAGTCACACTTAATTTCATTGCAAATGCTACATGAATTCTTTGTTGAATAACACAGGAAAGGAAAAACAGGTAAATGTTTAATGAAGAAAAGTTATTCTTAGAACATACCAAAGTAGGTTACAAGAGCACAATTGAAGATAGTTTTGTTCGTGAAATGACCTGTAATGTACATAGAAAAAAGTTCAGCATTGGTTTTTATTGGATGGAAAAATTTCGTTTTTCCACAATGAACGTGTATCACCATGTATCGCCAGTACCCTTTTTACAAAATACATATGTATTGTTTCAACACTTATTCAGTGTCTCATGTTTCTTCTCATTTTCCACCAAAAGTTTCCTTCATTAATTTTCTTGGAGTTTGGGGGGTTTTTGTTGTTGTTGTTGTGTGTTTCTATGCTTCCTTGTGGTTGTTAGTCCCATTCTCTTTAGATATGTAATGTCAAGGGGTGAATTCTCAACTAGACAAAAATGACTTACAGTGTCGCTGCCTTTTCTACCAGTCTCTGCATTTGGTACTCATGTTACTGGCTGGAACAAAGCCAGTTACTGCCTTTCTCATGTTCTAGGTGTTCTTGATTCCTCTCAAAAAGTTGACTAAGCAAGAAATTAGAAGAATCCTGAGTTATCCTGAACTAGTTCATAATACAGTGTTTGAGTTTCTATCCTGAAATTGTTTCTTTTAACAATTTTTTATAAAATGTGTTTCAAATAACAGCTGATAGTCACCAGAATGGGAGTAAATGACTTGTGGCAAATTTTGGAGCCTGTTAAGCAACGCATCCACTTACAGAATCTTGGTGGGAAAACCATTGCAGTTGATCTGAGTCTCTGGGTGTGTGAGGCACAGTCTGTCAAAAAAATGATGGGAACTGTTATGAAGCCCCACCTCAGGTACAGTAAAAGCTCTTAGAATGTAACTGTATGATTGGAACAGCTTCGGTTTTTGTCTGGGCTTTATTTCTTCCGTCTTTTGAGAGATTTTAAAGCACGTTTAACATGTCTTAAGTCTGATGGCCCACAGATTTGTACCTCTTTCTCCTTGAGCTCCAAACTCACTATCTACTCCTCCCTTGCATATCCTCTAGCATGCTTTGATTACTCAAAGGCAGAATTTTAGGAACCATCATCTCACAGTTTTACATCTTCTTCACATCAAATCCATCACTAAATCTTTGTGGTTTTACTTCTAAAACATACTTTATGTTCACCTCAGTCTGTGCCAACACCATCTTTCATTTATGCTACTGAAACAACACTTTCACTAGTTTTCCTTCCTTGCTCTAGGGCTTCTTCTCCAAACCATTTTCCTTACAGCAATGACAATCGTGATAAATCACCCCTGCATAACAGTGGTCCGTTCCCTCTGTACTTAAAATAAATCTTAATTTGATAAGTGTTTATCCCATGTGACATTCTGGTGCTTTATCTAATACAGCTTTATGTCATACTGTGTTTTGCTATCAATACATTATGGTTAATATATCACTGACATACATTTCAGGAACTTATTTTTTCGTATCTCATATTTAATGCAAATGGATATAAAACTGGTGTTTGTTATGGAAGGGGAGCCACCAAAACTGAAAGCTGATGTCATGAGCAAGAGGAATCAGACTCGATATGGGCTTTCTGGAAAAACATCATCTCAGAAAACAGGAAGATCACATTTTAAGTCAGTCTTAAGAGAGGTAAGCATTCAGATTTGGTTTTATAATTCTGATTTGAATTAAAGAGTACATTTTGCTCTAATAAGTTTGTAAACTTTAATAACCATTAGCGATACTGTGACTAGAAGACTAATGTGTAAAGAGAAGTTTGTGCTTCAGAGGAAAGCTGATTTGAGTTCAAGTCTGGGCACTGGCATTTAGAAATTGGGCAGGATTTTTAACCTGTCCATCCCTTAATTCTTATACTGTGAATAAGGAGAGTAACATTTAGCAGAGAAAATAGATCCAAAGTAACTAGAACATAGTAGGGACTTGATGATCTTACCTTTTATAATATCTTGAACAGTTGAAGAATTCCTAAAAAAACAAGGCGTGATCAAAGTATACACTGAATGCTTATATTTTTAAAAAAACTTTTTACAGTAAAAGATACATCGCTATTAATCCCCCTCAAAAAATTCCTCGCTTCAAATACATTTACTGTGTCATTCTTGCCATTTTCTAAAGCAGTTAGGGAAGTTCTTTTTTTGTGAGTGTCTTACAAGGTGTGGTAAAAAGTTAGCACATCTATGACCATACCACCCTGAGGGTGCCCGATGTCATCTGAATTGATTGAGCACATGGAGGCAGTTGAGATTGCACAACTAAAATTATGAAAGGGCACTTCTAGAACTGCTTCAGAAGGCAGCAAGAATGATGGAATAAGTGTGTTTGAAATGAGGGGAAGTATTTTGAGGGGGATTAATAGCAATGTGTCTTTTACTGTAATAAGTTTTATTTAAAAAATTTAAGCATTCACCATATTTTTCCATCATATCTTATACAGGAGATGTCATTAATCCCTACTTCATTCATTAAAGTTTATTATAGATCATATATAAAATACACATAATTGGTTTCTCAGGGCTCATAATTTTGAAAAGTAATTTTTATGTTTTATTTTTATATTACTTATGATATTGCTATATTTCATAGTTTTATAAGAGCTAAGAAATTACCCCCAATTAATATAGTATATAATTTAAGCGAAAATCAGCTACTATTTTGTCTTTTTTCAAATGTGTATTTTTATTTTTATTTTTTTTATTTTAGAGAGTAAAAGAAGGATAACAATAATAGGGGGGTGCTTACCAAATTACAGACAAAGTGGTAGGAAATTATCAATGGTTATTGTTTTA